AAACACGATGAACAAAGGAGGAATTGAGAGAGAGGTGAAGCACCACCAAAATCGGATAGGGTTCTCTTAGAACTCTTAGGGTCAACCGATTTTGGCTAAGGGGTGACATTTATATAGTATAGGATTCCAAGAGTCGTGGGTAAACCCTAATCCATACACTTAGGTTATGATCCATATCTCATGTGGGCTAACTCTTCATGGATACTTACATAAACTTAGCCCAAAATGGATCAATAGCCCAAAAACTATATATATATATATATATATATATATATATATATATATATATATATATATATATATATATATATATATATATATATATATATATATATAATCAGTCCCCATTAATTTAATAGTCTCTTTTGATCACTAAATTAATTCCAAATTAATTCTTGATCAATACTAATTAAATAATGTGATTTCTCAATTAATATATTATACTTATAATATATTAATAAGTAATAAATAGCCTCTTTCTCAAATATCCATCCTATCAAATTCAACTGGTGAAGGAAACCCAAATGGACCATGCTACTCTCAGGTCAAGTACATACCAATTATAGTTATGAGCTTAAACACCTAGTCCAACAAGGGTTTGTTGGATCTCATACATACAAATGTGTGTGGACCTTTCAGATCTGCCACAATGGATGCTAATCGTTTCTATGTGACTTTTACTAATGATTATAATAGATATGGGTATGTCTACTTAATCAAGCATAAGTTAGAAACCTTTCAAAAGTTCAAAGAGTTTAAGCAAGAATTGGAGAATCAATTGGGTAGGAAGATAAAGATGCTATGATGTGATCGAGGTGGTCAATATCTTAGTATCGAGTTCCACGACTATCTTAAGGAATGTGGAATTGTTCAAAACTGACGCCACCTAGGACACCACAGCTTAATGGAGTAGCTGAGAGGCGCAATAGAACCTTGTTGGACATGGTTCATTCCATGATGAGTCGAGCTTCATTACCTATCTCATTCTGGGGATATGCCTTTGATACTGTCGCCCATATCCTTAATCTAGTCCCAACTAAAAAGGTTGCCAAAACACCTCATGAAATGTAGACAAGGAAGGTTCCCTCGTTAGCACATATCAAGGTTTGGGGTTGCAAGGTGAAGAGAATAATATGCTAATAAGATCGATAGATTCTAAACAGATAATAAATAGTGAAGCAAAGAACACAAGAATGGATCAAACGA